ATTGCAACCTTTAATACACGGGTTTGCCTGTATCGCAACCTCCGTCCATCGGCGGCTCGTTTTCCACCGGAAAAGCGAGCGTGCGACGCACACGCACGAATCTTGAGGGTAGATTTGCCATTTTAAATTGTTTATCAAACTGCATTCTGGTCCTTGTGCTTTTGTGATTTTTTAAAATTGGCCTAGGGCCTGTTTGTAATTCTTAAAAGTGATTAAGGGCTGTTTGGTTGTTTGAAAATTCAAATTTAAAAAATTATAAACGAAACTTTCTAAAATTGTAAATCCGCCCCTAAAATATGTCAAATTTTCGAAACCAAGCCCTGCAACATCAAAACCCTACTTCACGTCAGCTCAGCGCCTGCCCGCCGCCGTCCCTCATCACCTTCCGCGTCGCTCGATCTCCGGCAAGAAGCCTCAGCCCAAGGCCGGCATACACTCGCCGGATTTCTCACGAGGCGGTCAAACTGCAGATTTTTTTTTTTTTTTTTTATGAATCCGCCATTAATGGCGGACGAGCTCGAGGCTCGTGTTTTGGCGTACCGCCGCAGAGGCAACAATCGCCGGCAGTGCAGCGTGGCGGTCGTGTACGGAGTTCCAATCGGGATTCCAAATCCCATTTTTTTTTTTTAATTTAGTCGCCCAGCGACGGCGGCCTTTGGCCGCGCGTTTTTCCGGCGGCTAGCCCGACGACAATCGACGGCAGCGGAGGGACGGCGAGGTCGGAAGATGAGAGACGGGCGATTGTTGAGAAGGGATTCAAAATCCCAAATCCCAGATTTTGTGTACGGGCAATTCGAACAAAACGATTCCAAATCGTTTCTCAAAATCTTTTATATATAAATATAAATCTTAGATTTAGATCGACCAAAACAAAACAATTCCAAATTGTTTTTCAGATTTGGCAATTCTCAGTGTGTAATACGAACAGACCAGAATTGCAGGCTTTTGCCCTAATTTTGAATTGGGTTTGTGAATTCAATTCAATTCAGAGTGTATTTGGGGGAGTCCAAAGGTCGCGTACATAAAATGGCAAATCTACCCTCAAGATTCGTGCGTGTGCGTCGCACGCTCGCTTTTCCGGTGGAAAACGAGCCGCCGATGGACGGAGGTTGCGATACAGGCAAACCCGTGTATTAAAGGTTGCAATTTAGTACAAAATATTCTTTAGGTTGCAAAATCCGAAAACGCGATTAGTACAGGTTGCAAATAATTATTTACCCTTTAATCAATTAGTACCTACTTTTGGTTAACGAAAATGGATTACTTCAATTGATGTTACCATATATTGGGTCTTTAGTACCAACTGCGGCGAACATTAAAAAACACTGAATTCGGTCTCAAATGATGCTTATATGACCTATTATCACTCTCACATTAGTTTCTACAAGATTTAAAATGTGTTTGATTAAGTTTAATCGCAAATTGGTCATGAACTCAACACATCATGATAGATGTGAAGGATTAATAAAATCACGCTTAGTAAAATGATACCTGTTTTCCTAGAAAGTACCAATAATGTTTGTATTCGGTACCTGTTTTTAATCAATTAGTACCTACCTTGGTCAGCCAATGTGAATTACTTTAATTTTGGTCAATGTTTGTAAAAGTAGTAGCACTCATAGAGTTAGAGTATCCATTAAATGGTAGTTTAGTACCTGATATTGTATCTTCAGTACCAAATCCCACGAACAAAAAAAAAAAACATCGAATTTCAGTCTTAAATGATGTTTATATTACTCAAATCACTTATACATTAGTTTCTATGTGTATTTGAATGTGTTTAATTATGTTTCCTCGACAAGTGATCATGAACTCAATAGAGCTTTAGTTTCAAAATTTTATTTTTAGGTAATTTTCAATTTTATGAAAAATTAATTTCAATATAAAAACTGCAATTAATTGTATGCTTTGTATTGACACATGTACATGTTCGGTTTTATGCTTGAGAACTATCATAAACTATTTTATATTTTTTTTTCCTCAAGCTATCATATGCTACTCTTACTCTTCTTATTTAATTCATATAATAATTGTTACTATAAATATGTATTCTTTTTATTTTTAAATCTTTATATTTTTTAGTCTAATTTTATTTTTTGTATGTTATAGCTCAAAATAATCATATTTTAATGATCTTCAATTCGACATCCATATTGCATATATAAAATAAAAAATAATTACATCTATCATTATAAATAAAACTATATTTATTAAAAAAATAATTTCAAAAATATGAATACAACATAAATTATTTTATAACAAATGTAATAAAAATATAATTCAGTAATATACCATAAAATAATTATTTTAATTCGTTTTACCATAGATTTTAAATAAAATAAGAAAATTAAGTGAAAAATACGGACCCCATTTTGAATTAATTACTACTTTGTTATTCATTATTTTTTATAGTCATTATACATAATTTTACAATAAAAAATAATTTATTTTAAATTTTCTATTATACAACAATTAATATATTTAAGTACCCGTATAGTACACGGGTATCGTACTAGTTGATATATATTCCTCTTGAAAATTAGAGAGATCTTTGAATAAATATTTTTTAGTAAAATTTATAATTTAACTGTAGAGAATTATATGATAAATTTGAACGACAGAGTAACATACAACAAATCTTAAAAATTGTGAGATCAGTATAATATAGATTTGTATGAAATAAAGATTAGTAAAATATAATTTTTCTATTTGGATAGTTTATACAAAAATAAATTTATATTAATTAATGAAAAGATATAAGTTTTAATAGTATACTTATTATTCATATATATTTTTAAATATATGATGAAAAAATTTTACCAAAATATTTATTTTATGGAACCACATTGTATTCAAATTGAATTTTAAATAAAAATTTTAAAATGACACATATTTTGAAATGAAATAATGTAACTTATTGTCAGTTATGTACATCATACAAGTTGTGCACTAATTTTAAATAGACATATTTTATATAATTTTACACAATTTAAATTTCATATAATATTTAAAATAAATTAATATAGGGGGAGTATTACATATTGATTTCATATTTTTTAATTTATAAATAATATTTAGTGAAAATTTTTAATTTATAAATATTAATGAATATCTATTACCCGTGCATCACACTAGATTCATAATAGTTTGTTTTAATGAGTTACAAAACTGATACATATATTGGAACAGGACAATACAAGTGTTGTAGTAACTCAGTACTTATATATTGTCATATAATACCGACTTATATGAACGAAAATGAATATACACTGTAAATATTTGTTTACAAAAATGATACCTATAATGTAGTAGGAAAATACCAATGTTGTTGTAATTTAGTACCTATATATTGTGTGGAAGGAAAGAGAAAGAAGAATAATAAAAAAATTAATAAAAAATGTAGTAGAAGAGATGAATAGTAGAAGATGAGAAAAAATAATAAAAAATGTGTAGAAAGAAAGAGAGAGAAAAATAATAAAAAAATAAGGAAGTTAGTAGTAGAGAGAGAGAAGATTAATAAAATAATAAAATGGAATGAATGGTAGTGGGGATGATGTCATTTTCAATTTATTTTTGATTTATTTAAATAATAGGGAGTTAAGAGAAAGATGATTTTAGGGGTAGGGAGTTCAAAGAAAAAAAAAACATCCTAGGAAATGAGGAGGAACTTGAAAAGTGCTTTAGGGATTTTAAAAGAAATTGCCCTTATTTTTGGCGTTTTTTCTTTTTGTTTTATTTTGTGGGCTATTTCCACTCGGCAATGACATGGCAAAATTTATTTCCACCTGCCATACTTCAAATTTTTAAATTTAAATGAAGTCACCACATCAAGCCACATCAGATTAAAAAACGGCCATGTCACGCCACATCATTTTCTTATCTAGGGTTCGGATAAAAGAAGACCAAAATTGATGAAATTGACAAATTATAGGACCCAAATTGAAAGTGGTCAATAACGGGGTAGATTTTTGGACAGTTGCCAACTTATAGGACCAATTTTGAATTTTTGTCCTGTAATTTATTTATAGTTTGAATAATTGCAATATGGCCCTTGAATTTTTATATTAGAAAATTAATGCACATTTAGTTTTATTCTTATGCATATATATATATATATATATATATATATATGTATATATATATAATTTGGAGTAGCAACATTTAATTTTATTGTCATGTATTAAATTTTATTATCCTTCCAAAAATTTCAGCATTCAATTTTATTCATTTCATTTCCCGCCTAAAATTGTTACACATATTATAATATGCTTTTTTTGTTTTTTTTTAGTTTTCTTTGTTACCTCATATAATCATTAATTGCATGTATTTTTCAGCTAAATCATCCAATTATATTAAAACATTTTTCTTCTTTTTCTCCAGAAATTTTAAATTTATTAGGTCCTGTAAACTACTACCTCAAATCATGCACTTCAATTGGTTTATTTGACATGTAACGTGTGCTTATTGATTATATACTAATTTAGTTGCAAAGAATTAAAAAAGAAATTAAAATGAAAAATTACAAATTTAAATTGAAAAAAATATCAATAGCCAATCTGTTTTTGCTATGGTTCCGACAAAATAATAAAAAATAAATTAATAAATTAAATATTAGCTTCACAAATGAAATTCAACAAAATATATATATATATATATATATATATATATATATAAATACGATCAAATAAGAAAGCAAGATAAAGAAAGAAATAAGAATAAATCTAAACCATTGAATTTAATATATCAATGGACATGATCAAGTCAATTATTAAATATGACAGTCAAATATGCTGTGACATTTTTGTAATAAATGAACATATCATGGTCAAATATATAATTTTGACCACCAAGGTAAATTGGACATTGACACAAACCTACTAACTTGTGAGACCCACCACCAACAAAACACACCTACCCTACACTTTCTCTCACACACACACAGACCACACACTTGCTTCACACACAAAGACGGGAAACACACACACGCACAGTAAGAAGATTCACACACTCGTCGCCAGCTGCCCCGCCGCCACCTGCCTGCACGGCCGGTCTCCGCCACCAGTCCCGTCGAGCACGCTGCCGTCGCCGTCGCTGCCATCAGCTTCGTCGAGCATGCCGTCGTCGCCTTGCCACCAACGCCATCAACAACCTCCAGGCTCCAACAGACCCGCCGCCGCCGCCACGCACCACATCCGGTCGCCCCTGCATCTCGACTGAAAGCTGCCGTTACGGGCTATATCAGCCTCCGATCCACCGATCTCCGTCGAGATGGCCGCGAGACGCTCGAAGACACCCGCAGTGTAATAGCCGGAAAACGAGGTCTGCAAAACCGCCGCCAATAAATCGGAGTTGCAACATACTCGCCGGACGCCGGGCGATTGAGCCATTGAGATGACCTTCACTATTCGGGCCTGTGGAAAAGTGAATCGTGGTAGAATTTGGACTAGTTTTGCAGATATTTCGAAAATTTGAGTTGGGGGTGTATTGGGAGAATTTGATATGTTAAAAGGATCTTGTTGCAATTTATTAAATTCTGATATATTTCAATTTAGTACATGAGGCAAATCAATAATTTAATAAAAATTTCAGGGACTTAGTTGCAATTTCTGAAATTTGAATATATTACATTTTCGTTCATAGGTAAAAAATGTAAATTAACAAAAATTTAGTAAATGCACAATAATGTTCAATACAATGCACAATATAGTGTATGTATATGCACATTAAAGATAAAAATTCACAAATGCACATTAGAAAAAAAATAAAAATGGATGGGTTTTTATTTCGAGCGAAATATACACATCCATATTCGCACTACGTAATGTACATTATCGATAAATTAGCTGCAAGTTCTAAAATTTGAATATATTACAATTTAGTCAATGAGTAAAAAATGTAAATTAACAAAAATTTAATAAATGCACAATAATGCTCAATACAATGCACAATATAGCATATGTATATGCACATTAAAGATAAAAAATCACAAATGCACATTAAAAAAAAAATTGGTTGGATTTTTATTTCGAGCGAAATGTACACACCCATATCCGCACTACGTAATGCACAATATCGATAAATTAATAGCACAATAATACATATGAGAATACCCAATATCGTAACAATGTATTTTAATTTTTTTCACACGAGGTCAATGATCAAAATATACGTTAATGTGCATTGTCACATGCATTAATGTGCAGTCGGTCCAATGATATTGTGCAATCTGTCTTTCAATATAGTGCATCATGACAAGTATACCACAAATGGCACTGCACTTAATGTTGTTCATTGAACGAGCCGACTGACCTGAATAACCTAGTTGAACTTAGAAATAAAAAAATGAATCATACGAACCGAAAGAACCGATTTATTCGGTCACTTAACCAAATTAATCAAAATAAATAATTATTTATATTATAAAAATATATGTAATATATTAATCTTTTTATTGTCGTATTTTATATTATTGTTTTGGATGAAATAAATACTATATATATAATGTAAAAAATTAATATTAATTACATAGTCCAGTTGATTCAGGTATTTCGAATATTTTAAAAATACATTGTTATGGAACCGGAATAACCGAACATTTAAATGTGAGAAATCAAAAAATATGGGGAATTTTGATTGTTTCACGAATGGCTATTTTATTCACTAGCGCTACACTCTAGTGCAATCCCATATACGTTAATTGTGTAATATGTCTATCACTATTGTGCATTCTACATTATAAAAAACTAATGTAGAAAATGTACATTTATTAAAATTGACTTGGATGAAAATAAAATCGAACCAAAATAATATAAAGTTTATTGGGTCGGTTAAGCGAGTCAATCATAATAACCGGAATACAAATGTTATTTTTATTATAAAAACATATTTATTGGTTTAATATTTTATATATTTGTTTTGGCTGAAAAAGTAATAATATATTTATATAAAAAATATAATATTAATCTCCTTATCCAATTGTGAACAGGGAAAAGAAATCCGTTTGTGAACAAGGAAGAAAATGCCCAGTGAAAGGATGAAAAAGTAATGATACATTTAGGGTGGTACTATTTACCACCCCTATTTTACTAGTCACCGTCCTCCTTGGACGATTTTGCATTTTTCATTTTTTCTAAACATCTCAGAGGAAAGTGCACGATGAAATGTCGTCAAATTCGGAGGTACGAAAAATTTTGTGTCCGGCGGCGGGAACCGGGCGGTTTTTAAGCCGTCCGAAAACGACGGCCGGTCGGAACCGGTCCCTCCGGTTCGGCCGGCCGGACAATTTTTTTTTTTTTTTTTTTTTATTAAATTGAGAGGAGATTTTTTTTTTTTTTTTTTTTTAATTATTATGTTATATATTTGAATTAATTATGTTATAAATTAGACTATATTATTATGTTATAAATTATTATGTTACATTTTAGACTTGATTATGCTATAAATTGGACGTTTATCGTGTTAGGAGTTACAAATTATTATGTTACATGTTGATTATAATATAAATTGGACGTTAGATATTATCATGTTACGAGTTAGAAATTATTATATTACATGTTAGTCTTGGTTATGTTATAAATTGACAGACGTTACCTAGTATCGTGTTAGGAGTAACAAATTATTATGTTACATGTTATAGTTGATTATATTATAAATTGGATGTTAGATATTATCGTGATCGTGTTAGGAGTTACAAATTATTGTGTTACATGTTAGACTTCATTTTGCTATAAATTGGACTTTAGATAATATCATGTTATGAGTTACAAATTATTATATTACATGATAAAATTAATTATCTTAATTTAACACGTTCTAAAAATATAAATACTGTACTATATAGCAGGAGTCATGGAAAAATTTTGGAGGAGATGGTGTTGATTACAGTTTGCGTTTCGATACCTGTACATTATATAATAGTGCTCAGGACGCTATTGAAGCTGCAAAACACCAGGCAATGCTGAATGGTTTCCTATTAATAGTTTTGAGCCACAAAAAGAAAATGGTCAGGCTTTTGAAGTGCCATAGAGGCGAACGGTACAGAGGCACAGGCGGAAATTCTAGAAAGACAAAAACGAATAAGTGCGGCTTCAATTTTGAGATCAAAGTAAAAAAGGTGTCCCGCGCTCCATACTGGAGGATCTGTAGATGTAGCAATGAAGAGAAGGGCTACCATAACCATACATTTGCTGTGTATCCTGAGGGTCATCGCCAGTTGAGCGGCCTCAGCGCTTCATCTAAGAAAATTGTTCGTGATATGGCGGACGCTCAGGTGGCCCCGGCAAAAATTATGGCCGCGCTGAAGGAAAAGAATCCGGGAGACAACGTTCATGTGCGACAGGTATATATATTTATATCTTGTAATATATGTTTTAATTAACTTTTTGAAGTTAATTATTATAATTATTAATTGTTTATATGTAAAAGTTGTTGTAATAATTAATAAATTTTATTATATTTACTAATGTATTATTATTGTGATAGTTAATAATTTTTGTATCAAATTAATCGCATTAATATATTTTTTTATTTATTAATATAATATTTTTTTTATTTTAAATTATAATAATCATTATAATTAACGTTAATCGGTGACATGTATATAACTTTAGAGATAAGCTGCGAAAAGAGAGTTTCGACGGTAGAGACGTTCTTTCCCAGCTTATGCATTTGGCCGTGAGCAGCGAGTATACAGTTTATGCAAAATTCGATCCGAACACGAAAGCGTTGACGCATATATTCATGGCCCATCCTGTGTCGATCAATCTATTCCGGACATATCACTGGTATGTCGGCATAGATTCCACGTATAAAATCAACAGCTATGTTACTTTATAAATACTTTATTAGTATGAATCTTAAATAGTGTGTTTGATTTAGTAAACTTTTATTTGATTATATTTTTTTGTCTTCTTCGTCTCATTTGTACAGGTACAAGATGCCGTTGGTCGAGATGATTGGGATGACACCATGCAACCAGAACTTCCTAATTGCGTATGCGCTCATCAGGGATGAGAAAGAGGCCAATTACGACTGGGTTCTAGAGAAGTTGAGACTGCTGATAGGCCAAAACGTATATCCTTATGTTGTTGTCAGTGACAGAGAGTTGGGTTTACTCACTCCTATTCAAAGGCATTTTCCTGAATCAGCTCACTTACTCTGCACGTGGTATATCAACAAGGATGTGGAAGCCAGAGCCTACAAACTATTTGGGAAGAGTAAAAAATTCTCGGAAATTTTCACGCACAGTACGTGGAAGGCGATTGCAGAGGCCAGTACATTCGATGCCTACACCGATGCCGTTGCCGAGCTACACGCAAAATATTCGAAGTCTCCAGAGGTGATACGGTATGTGGAGGGCACATGGTTAGGGGACCTCGAGAAGTTTGTGAAGGCTTGGACCAACCGAGTGACACATTTTGGAAACACAACTTCCTGTAGGGTGGAGAGTGCCCACTCTGTGTTGAAGGAGTGGCTTCAGACGTCCACCGGCGCGCTCGATACAATTTGGCAGAAGATTAATAAGCACATCGATAATCAAGTGACTGAAATCAAGTACGTACTGCAATTTTTAAATGCGTTATTATATTACTGCATTAATTAATTATAATCTAACGTTATGTAACATATTATCAGGACGACGCTTGAGGCCTCGAGATCTAAGAAGAATACACGGTATAAGGGAATCTTTTTCGCGAGCGTGATACTGAGGGTCTCGCATTACTGTCTGAGTTTATTGGACGCTGAGCTTACGAGGATGCACGACTTGGGCACCGATGTTTACACTAGCTGCGGCTGTGTATTGCAGCTCACTCATGGACTTCCTTGTGCCTGTCTGCTCCGTAACGCAGTTGATTTCAACATTCCGATTGATCTCGGAATGATTCACCAGTTCTGGAGAACGCTCCAGATATTAGAGCCAGGTAATTTAAGGTTAATGTTTTATTTATAATTTTCTATTAAAATACATTATTTGGTTTAATTCATTGACTTTTTTATCGTATACTTGTAGGGACTGGTCATCAGAGCCAGGCGAGCCACGCTGCATGATCAGATGCGGAGTTCTTTCAGACGCTTGTGAGTGAGGTTGAAACCCGCGATCCCGCGACGAGGCGGTACGTGAATCAATTCATGTACAGTCATCTTTACCCAGACCAACAGGATTATGCGGAACCTGAGGTTAAGGATGACCCGCGAGGTCGTCCCAAGAAAACTAATTCAACTAAGCATAAACCATCTGCTTTTGAGTACAACGATAGATCGCGAGGTCGGAAATCGAGCCATACGACCACTTCTTCGCGTGGACAGACAAGTTCGTCTTCTCAACTGTCACAAGGGGATGAAGGTCATACATTTTTTTTTTAGATATGGGTGAGCGTTAATTAAAGTA